CGCGGAGGTAGAAACTAATGCGAGATCACAAAATGACGAGACTATTTGGAAACAACAAAGACTGCAAAAAGGGCTAAGATTAGACAATGAAGGACTATATATACAATACATCATAATCCAAAGGGAGGCCACCTTTTAACAGAATGTTCATAACGTAAGCAACTTCTGAAGACGATCTTCCAATTCACGGTTTTCTTTTTTCAATGTTTTTACTTTACTTCTAAATGATAACTTTTTTAGATAGAAAACTGAAAGAAAGTGATAAATCTTACTTATTCTCTTTCCTTTCTGCTGCGAGTTGTTGCAAAAGTAGCTTTCCTTCTTCTTTAAGAGCGGCTATTAGATGGCTTTGATCTTCCAGAATTTTTTGGATCTCTGGGACATATCCAAGTACAGAATAAGAGGAAACAAAATATACGTAAGGAAACGGAACTCACGATTTGTATCCAATTCCTCTGCCGATCCGCCCACATTCTGAAAAAATGCCCATCAAAAGAATGTGGTTGAATCCTATTGTGATATCAACAACATTAGACGGCATGAACTACATAAAAGACAAATCTACTTTATGGCATTGGCTTGTTTGGTGAGTTTAACCTACTCACCATCACTACATACAATAATGGACGGCTGGTACTCACCTTTCCTCTGAGCAAAGCGTTCTCCTCAATCAGAGAAGATAGACGGCATTCCGCCACTTTGCATTCTTTGCGGAGCTTAGTCAACTCATTTGATAATCGGTCACAATGTGTTCTGAGATGCACACAGCGTTGATTCACAATATTTAATTCTGAGTCTAGCTCGGATTCAACTCGTTCGCGATCGTCCAGAAGCGCTGAATTAGATAAACTGTTTACATAAGTTCGAAAGCATAAACAAATCATAACGTAAACCAAGAAGGACACTCACACTGACACTTAAGCCGCAGTTCTGCTGTATCGCGTATAGCTTCTTCCATCTTAGTAGAAAGTGATGCCACTGCCAACTTCTTCGAGTTATTTGCTTCATCAACCGCGTTCTGCAACTGCAATGGGATCGCTAATTTGTAGCAAGCAGTGATAAGATATGACGAGTGTGTAAATGAGAATTTTCAAAAAAAAA